TGCCTTTCTTCAAAGCACCGGCAATTGATAACATATATGAGGAAGGAATCCTTCTTCCAGGTTTAATAATGGGAAGTAAATTAGCGTGTGGTGCAAAATGCACAGAACTTCTTGGACAATGTCTTTCTTACGCTTGGGATAAAAGAACTGGGAGTTGTTTATTATTTTCACAAAAAGTGAACACAAATCAACCATCACCTATAATTGAAGGAGATTTGGAATTCTACAATATGAGAGGTAAGATAAACATTTCCTTTTTCAAATATTTAGATAATATAAACTTTTAAATCTCTTTTGTAATCAAAAGAAGAAAATGTTAACTTGAGGTTTAAGATAGGATTCTTCTCTGGTTTCTGACTAGAGGAAACATTCAAAGTACATTTGCTTACATACCTTATATATTTAGGTGTAAGGGATTCAAAAGACCATATTTTTCTTTCCTCGTCGCAATTGTACAACTTTAAATAGAAATGGTAAACTGCGTTTGAAAACTAGCAGGGACTATATTTTTGGCGGAATGTTGGCGTATGAAAATATCTTCTTTTCTGCCTTTCAAAATTATGATAGAACAATGAATTTAGTTTTAATTTTTACACAATCGAAGACTTTGAGAAATTTTCAAATGTAAGTTAAATTAATAATAAGGGACTAAACTTTCAAAATATATCAAATAAATATAATTTTTCAAACAAACTAGAACTATGTTAGCTTTTAAATGCTTCCCATCAAAGTGCAGATTTGAGCCAAAAATCCATAAAAAGTATTTTTTTTATCTCTCTAATTAAACGATCAAAACCTTTTGTTTTGTATTATTTTGTACATTTATAAGACTACTTTATTATATGTGAAAATAAGAAAAAGTCAAATATAGGAAGTATATGAAAATAATTAATATATCCTAAAAAAAATTAAGAAAAACAGAGAAAATTCAGATTAGCCAATATCAAGTTTAGTTAAATTATTTATGTGGTAAGATCATGCTATAGACCCAATATAGTGATATTTTTTAAAGGCAAAAAGAACAGTCTTTAAACTTTTGAAATAGAAGTAGGCATCACAAGATTGGAAACAGTACTTTTTTTCATTTGTGTCAAGGAAAAAGATAATGACCTTGACCTGACCTTGTCTCGAATATAAAACGGTCAAACTTAATCTCACTGATACTATCACTTACTGATATTGTCCTCTTGATTCTGTGAAAATGTCATTAACTTTTGAATACAAGAAATATGAGAAGAATTCTACCTTAATATTTTTTTAAAGAAAAATAATCACTTACTAATAAATCAATTTCAGAATCAATCATATCTTCAATTATTTAGAGAAAAGATGCAAGACCAAAAGTTGATGCACAGGAAAACCAGATTTAATTTTTTTTATTAGTTAAACATGTTTTCCTTAAAGATACTTTTTTCTGGAGCTGGCTAATGTTTATTAATATCAAGTGGCAAATATGATGTCTGTTGAAATTCATGTTTTATTTAAAATATTAAAGGAGATGTACTGTACTAAGAAACAAATATAAACATTATTTCTAAAAATATATCTATGAATTCTAGTCTCATATAATGTATAGTGGGGTATTTTTTTTGTGGAGCGATTAGTTTGGGGTTTAGACGATTTTTCCTTTTGCACACATGAAGAATTAGTGTAATAAATATAATTTGTGAAAAATAAGCCCCGGGGTTGAATATCGGGAGGAGGGGTTCTCTCCACAAGTTCCTGTGTTAGTAGAGTGCTCGCTTTTTTGAGCAGAAAGTTGAGGGTTTGAATCAGGTCGAAATGAACCTGAATATCAAAACAGTACGGATATATCAAAGAACGGTAAACAATCAACTCAGTTTTCATGGAATTTTGGATTGTAATTTATGTAGTCTAATGCCAATTTGATTAAAATCAGATCCTTTGATCCGCTCACATAGATTGCGGATGTATAGCGATCTATTTGAGCTGATCAAAGGATCTGCTGATTTTAATCAGATTGAATCTAATGCACGGTTAATGTTCCAACACATAACCATAAGACTGCATGCCATCTTATTAATAGTTAATGCGAGGGAATCTGTAAAAAAAAAATCAAAATAAATTTAAGGTGCAAAATTAAAAAAAAAAAAAAAAAAAAGATGTGCATTTCTTCCATGCGGGGCAAAAACAGCCAATTCCTTTAAAAAATTTTTATCAGATGTGTATTTTTTTTCATGGAAAATTGGCTATATTTAAATTCTTAAGAAAGATCTAATCCTGACATGAAATTTTTATGAATTCTTATTAAATTACAATCTTATTGACTGATTGATTGATTGTAAATGTTGTATTACGTCCCATTCGAGAATTTTACTCATATAAAGACGTCAGCATTTACCGGTAAAGGGCTCAAATATGGAATCCGGATAGGGCCAAGCAGTTCACTATCGCACCATCGAGCATCAACTTAAAGGTCGATAGCGCGATAATGCGATGGCGCGATAACGATGAAACGGTGGTGCAATAACGATGAAGCGATGATGTGATAGCGCGATGACGATGATGCTATGGCGCGATAATGCGATAACGATGGTGCGATAGCACAATTGAGCGATAGTGAATATCGCTTCTGTTGTGAGGTGTGTTGTATTTGTATTATTTCATCATGTATATTATTAGTAACATTAAGTTTCTTGAACATTCCAGAGTGGTCAACATGTTCGGTCATTTTTTCTAGAACATTCTTGAACTTTATTCATGTCCAGAACTTTCCAGTAATATCATGTACTTACAACTTCTAGAATATTCTAGATTTATATTACTGTATAAATATCCTGTCAATTCGATGCATAGAGACTCTTGTCGTATGAGCACCATTGAGTTACAACTGGGATACATTTTCACTGGGACATTGTGTGCAGCAACGGACACTCTGATGTATGTATTTTTAGATTTTTGCTAAGTTTGTACTTAATGATTTGTATATTACTGTAAATAAATTATTGTTAAGTTTAAACTGTGTGATTGATCTTTGCTGGCATTTAGGGTTATTCTGACCCATAACAGAATTGGGGGCTCGTCCGGGATCAAGAATTTCTTGCACTTTTGCAGTTCATTGTCAGAATTTTGTTAATTAAATTGTTAAATTTGACTATAAGCCAGCAAAAATCAACATGGTATTTTCGGTCACAAACTTTCTTAGTTCGCCAAGTGTTCAGGTTTTTGATAAGTTAAAAAAGGATGACTTGATCGCATTAGGTTTGCATTTTGGGTTAGATGTTAAATCCTCTCAGAGAAAGCAAGACATTAGAATTAAGGTTGCAAACAAACTAGTAGAAGAAAACATCTTTGAAAAATATGATCTTCCAGAATATACAGTTAGATCAGAGTTAGGCTCTTATAAAATGACAGACTATCAGTTTCAATTAGAGTTAGAGAAAATGCGATTTGAAAGAGAAGAGCGAGAAAGAGATAGAGAAAGAGAAGAACGAGAGCGTGAACGAAAATTTGAATTAGACAAATTAGCAGCAGAAAGAGAAGAGCGAGAAAGAGAGCGTGAAATGAACTTTGAATTAGAGAAAATAAAATTACAAAACCAACCACAACCGTCATTTGTCAAGAATGAATTTGACGCAGCAAAAAATATTAGATTAGTTCCAAAATTTCAAGAAAAATCTGTAGACAAATATTTTCCCCAATTCGAGAAAGTCGCAGAGAATCTTAAATGGCCACAACACGTTTGGTCAACAATGTTACAAAGTGTACTGGTTGGCAAAGCAGCTGAGGTATACTCTGCACTAGGGGTAGCTGAGAGTTCAGACTATGAGAAGGTCAAAGCAGCAATATTAAAAGCATATGAATTAGTACCTGAAGCATATAGACAAAAATTCAGAAAGTATAGGAAGTTTGATAACCAAACATTTGTTGAATTTTCACGAGAGAAAGAAGATTTATTCGATCACTGGTTTAGATCTAAGAAACTTGATAAAACTTTTGCTAATTTGCGCCAAGTCATACTGGTAGAAGAGTTTAAGGAATGTGTTTCTCAAGATTTGAAAACACATTTAGAAGATAAGAATATGAAAACTCTTGAAGAGGCAGCAGTCATATCTGATACTTATGCTCTGTCTCATAAAAAGAATTTTGTATCAAGATCTCAGACTAGCAGTAATTCTACCAATTCAGACACATATAAAAAGAGTGGTTCAGGGTCTCAGTCTTTCACAAGTTCCCAGTCTCCATCCCAAGGTGGTTCTAAGTCCGGTCCAGGACGTTTTGAAGGATCTTCTGGAATAGGGTCGCTTCCTACTTGTAGTTATTGTAAGAAAAAAGGTCATCTGATCAGTGAATGCTTTAAACTTAAGAGAAAAAATGACTTTGATAAAACTCAACCACATGCTTGTGCGGCAGTTAGAGGTGATAGAGAAGCCTTAGTTTCGATTTGTTCTGACACTCCTGATGTCCAGGGTTCACAGTCCAGTTCTATTGATTCTATGGAGGATTATAAGCCCTTTATGTCTCAGGGATTTGTTTCACTCGGTGACTCTAGCGAAATAAAACCTGTCCAGATTTTGAGATATACTGGTGCTGCACAGACGTTATTGTTAGAGGGCGTGCTTCCTTTGTCTGAGCAGACTTCTACTGGTGGGTCAGTTTTATTACAGGGTGTGGAGCTAGGCGTCATTGATGTTCCCCTGCATAGAATTAGTTTGAAGTCAGATTTAGTTACTGGACCTGTTATCGTAGGTGTTCGACCTACTCTTCCCGTTCCAGGCATTTCTTTGTTGCTAGGCAACGATTTAGCTGGTGGAAAAGTTGTACCAGATCCTATAGTTTGTGAGAAAATCACTCCAGATGTCATGTGCGATGATGAAGATGATGACATTTATCCAGCCTGTGCTGTTACTAGAGCGATGGCCAGAAGACGAGAAATGGAGGCAGACCATACTCAAGCCTTTGAGTTTGAGACGGATTCCTCTGTTGATATTGATTTGAATGACACTTTCTTATCTGACCTTGATGGCACTCAAACAAACATGGAACCACACAATATCAAGAAGTCGGTGACGAAGGAACCTTTATCAAAATTTAGTGGTAATGAAGATGAGTCAAATCTACCAGAAAGCCAAGGCAAGGACATCCTCAGCCGAGAACGTTTACTCTCTGAACAACATAAAGACCCAGATATCATTCAACTTAGTAAGAGGGCACTTCCACCAGAAGAGGCTACTAAAGTTGGAGAATGCTTCTATATGAAAGATGGCATCCTTATGCGAAAATGGCGACCACCTGACGCTTCCCCAGATGAAGTGTGGCGTGTTGTTCACCAGATAGTGGTCCCAGCTGCTTATCGTCGAGATGTCATGAGTTTAGCTCACGATACACCTATGGCTGGTCATTTAGGTATCAATAAGACTTATAATAGGATTTTGAATCATTTTTATTGGCCTAAGCTAAGAAAGGATGTTTCGAAGTTTTGCAAGTCATGCCATGTCTGTCAGATGGTAGGTAAACCAAATCAGAAGATACCATCTGCTCCTCTCCAACCCATTCCAGCTTTTGAAGAACCGTTTAGTCGAGTGTTGGTGGATTGTGTAGGACCTTTGCCTAGGACTAGGTCAGGGAACCAGTATTTACTTACCATTATGTGTACATCCACTAGATTCCCTGAAGCCATACCTCTTAGGAATATAAAGGCAAAGAGCATAGTTAAGGCCCTAACCAAGTTCTTCAGTTTTGTAGGAGCACCAAAGGCAATTCAGTCGGATCAAGGCTCAAATTTTATGTCGGGGTTGTTCCAGCAAGTCATGCATGAGTTGGGTATAAGGCAATATAGATCAACTGCTTATCATCCTGAGTCCCAGGGAGCGCTAGAACGTTTTCATCAAACCCTAAAAACAATGCTGAAGACCTATTGTTACCAGTATGAAAAAGACTGGGATGAAGGGGTTCATCTTGTACTATTTGCTGCACGAGAAGCAGTCCAGGAGTCTCTTGGGTTCAGTCCTTTTGAATTGGTGTTCGGTCATACAGTTAGAGGTCCTTTGAAATTGTTGAAGGAAAAGTGGCTGACTGAGACTACTGATCTTAATCTTTTAGATTATGTGTCTGATTTCAAAGAAAAACTTTACAATGCTTGTAAATTAGCACAAGACAATTTGAAGAATTCTCAGATGAAAATGAAAATGTGGTATGACAAAGATGCCAGAAATAGGGTGTTTAAGCCAGGTGATAAGGTTCTTGTATTTTTACCTATTCCTGGTCATCCTTTACAGGCCAGATTTTATGGCCCTTATGAAATTGAAAGCAAGATCAGTGATGTAAACTATGTAGTTAAGACACCAGGTCGACGTAAAGAGAAACGGGTTTGTCACATTAACATGTTAAAAGAGTATTTTGAAAGGTGTGACCGAAATTCTGTAAAACCAGTTTCCACTTTAGCCAATGCTAAGACTGTTCAAAATTGTACTGAGAGTGATACGAGTGTAGAGATGAATGAGAAAGATTGTAATCAGAGTGTCCGCTTGAAAAACTCAGAAATTTTGGCTGATTTTGATTCCAAACTTGGACATTTGAACATTCACCAAAAAGAACAAGTTAAAAACTTGATGAACGAGTACCATCAAATCTTCTCGGATGTTCCAAAGAAAACTAATGCAGCTTGTCATGATGTTATAGTTGGCGACGCTCTGCCTATCAAACAACATCCGTACCGTCTCAATCCAATAAAATTGCAGTACCTAAGAAGGGAAGTGCAGTACATGTTGGACAATGACATTGTTGAACCTAGTAAAAGTAACTGGAGCTCACCATGTATTCTTGTACCAAAACAGGACGGTACCTACCGATTATGTACAGACTTTAGAAAGGTGAATTCTGTTACCAAAACTGATTCATATCCAATACCTAGAATCGATGACTGTATTGACAACATTGGAAACGCGAAATTTGTCAGTAAATTTGACCTGTTGAAAGGCTACTGGCAAGTGCCGTTAACAGAAAGAGCAAAAGAAATATCTGCTTTTGCTACACCAGATGGACTTTACCAGTATAAAGTAATGCCTTTTGGCATGAAAAACGCACCGGCTACATTCCAAAGGATGATTCACTCCCTTCTCCAAGACCTTGAGGGATGTGAGGCCTACATTGATGATGTGATCATATACAGCGATACATGGGACGAACATCTCCGAATCATGCGTGCTTTATTTGACATTTTAGCTAAAGCAAACTTAACTGTGAACCTTGAGAAGAGCGAATTTTGTCATGCCTATGTAGAGTATTTAGGTCATAAAGTAGGTCAAGGTTATGTTACACCTATTATGGCTAAAGTGGAAGCTATTGCAAAGTTCCCGATTCCTACAAACAAGAAAGAGTTAATGAGGTTTTTGGGCATGGCTGGGTTTTACAGAAAATTTTGTCCAAATTTTTCCTCAGTTGTAAGTCCACTTACAAATCTTTTACAAAAGAGGGTTAATTTTGAATGGACAAAGGACTGTGAAAAATCCTTTCTTAAAGTCAAATCTGTCCTTATGAGCAACCCAGTTCTGTCATCTCCAGATTTTTCTAAGCAGTTCAAGCTTACTGTTGATGCTAGTGATGTTGGAATCGGGGCAGCTTTGTTTCAAGAACATAGTGATAAGGTAGATAGAGTTGTTTCTTATATTTCAAAGAAACTTACAAAATGTCAACAAAAGTATTCCACCATTGAAAAGGAATGCCTTGCTTTGTTGTTAGCCTTACAGCATTTTGATGTTTATCTGAATGTTACTTTGCATCCAATTCTTGTATATACGGATCACAACCCCCTGACATTTTTGCATAAATTGTCAAACAAAAATCAAAGACTGACTAGATGGAGTTTGTTGTTACAAGAATACAACATAACTATTAAGCATATCAAAGGCAAAGACAATGTTATTGCAGATGCCTTGTCCAGAGTATCGTGAACATATATGATTTTGTATTAATGTACATATATTTCATTTTAACAATATAAGTTTTCATTGACATTCAAACTTTTTAAGGGGGGAGGTGTTGTGAGGTGTGTTGTATTTGTATTATTTCATCATGTATATTATTAGTAACATTAAGTTTCTTGAACATTCCAGAGTGGTCAACATGTTCAGTCATTTTTTCTAGAACATTCTTGAACTTTATTCATGTCCAGAACTTTCCAGTAATATCATGTACTTACAACTTCTAGAATATTCTAGATTTATATTACTGTATAAATATCCTGTCAATTCGATGCATAGAGACTCTTGTCGTATGAGCACCATTGAGTTACAACTGGGATACATTTTCACTGGGACATTGTGTGCAGCAACGGACACTCTGATGTATGTATTTTTAGATTTTTGCTAAGTTTGTACTTAATGATTTGTATATTACTGTAAATAAATTATTGTTAAGTTTAAACTGTGTGATTGATCTTTGCTGGCATTTAGGGTTATTCTGACCCATAACACTTCATCGTCATCGTACTATCGCAATATCGTCATCTCACCATCGCGTCATCACTATCGCACCATCGCGTCATCGCACCATCGTGTCATCGCATTATCGCACCATCGTCATCGCATTGTCGCGCCATAGCATCATCGTCATCGCGTTTTCGCACCATCACTTCATCGTTATCGCACCATCGCTTCATCGTCATCGCATTATCTCTTCATCGCACTATCGACCTAAACCTCGATGGTGCGATGATGCGATAGTGAACTGCGTGGCCCTATCCGGATTCCATACTCAAATTAGGGACCATTAAGCAGTGAGGGTACTTCAGTTTGCCATGGCACTTTGCCTCAGTTTTTAATGTCTCTTTCGAAGAAACCGCACCTTTCACTTCAAAGTGCCGAGCGTTTGGTGAGGGAAATGTTGCTACCAATCATGGAGTTTACATGGAAAACTCTTAACAGTCTTGCCTAAAAATCTGGTTTCAGCATGTTCCCCTGACTTGGAAAATGGAGTTTTGGATGTCAACAAAGCACTCTTCCCAGGCGACACAGTCAATGGAAGTTGTAACGAGGGTTACATAGCTATATCCGGAGAAATACTTGCGACATGTAACTCAGAGTCCCACATGACATTTTCTGATCGGTGCCGTTTATGTAAGTAAAAAAATGTAAAGTTTTCTCATCTCGTCACTTTAAACGCTAAAATATCTCATCTTTGATACTCTGTTTGCTCAGTGTTGACGAATGTTGCTGTCGGTAAACCCGCAGTACAATCTTCCACCTTTCAAACTGATGATGCTGCAAAAGCCGTGGATGGCGATAGAGGAACGGATATCATCGAAAACACCTGCTCCCACACGGACATAGGGGACGATTACCCGTGGTGGAGGGTTGACCTTCTGGATAATTATTACATCCTAACTGTTAGAATTGTCAACCGGGGCATGGACATGTACGGAATAGGTAGGTCCACAGGCCTTTAGATTGCTTTCATCCCACCTACAAAAATAATATGAAGATTTTATTTATGTACACACCAGATTTCTTGCAAGTCAGACTGATTCTAGCAATCCAAAGGCCTGTTGGTATGTCCAAGGATAATACAATTTTAAGCTTTCTCTCTCTCTCTCTTAATAAAAATACTTTTCATATCTGCAATTAGATGAGTCGGCCAGGCTTAAGGATGTAACAGTCAACACAGGAGTGACACTGTCAGATATCACCAAATTCTGTGGTTTCTTTGCTGGACCAGGAGGACTGTCTCAACTAGTGACCATCAACTGTCCACAGTACACAATGGGAAGATACGTACAAATCTCACTGGTGACTCCGTATCTAACCCTCTGTGAAGTAGATGTATTTGTTGTGGGTATCTAGCATCTAAAAAGTCGAATTATTTGAGATGAGTTACTTCAGTGACCATCAACTGTCCACAGTACACAATGGCTGGAAGATACGTGCATATCTCATAAGTGACTCCGTATCTAACTCTATGTGAAGTAGATGTATTTGAAGTAGATGTATAATACATCTACTTCAAATTATTTGTTGTAGATATCTAGAAGTCTAGAGCGGAATTGCTTGCGGTGGTTCCAAGTCAATTGACTACATATCAAACTCTCTGTGAAGCATTTTCCTTTTACAAAGAGGATCTAGTATTTGTTTTAGAAGTTGAGTGATCTTTTTTTCACTCTAGGCCAGTAGCTAATTCGTTCTGTGGATGTTTGCCGACTCCGTATCTAACGTTGTGCTATACACTGTGTTAGCCTAATGACCCCGTTTCTTACAATGTGTGCAAGTCATGGAATGTTTTGAAAAGTCTATATTTTTTTCTTATTAATAAATTTTGAAAGATGAACATTGTATGCGTACACATTTTTACATACATGTATATGAAGAATGTTACATATGGAGATAGCGAACAGATTCAGGATCAAAAGTTAAACAAGAGGCCCAGGGGCCACATCGCTCACCTGAGCACATCCGCTAGGAAATAACACATATCAGATCAGAACTGAAAGTTTACTGAGGTGAAGGGGGGGGGGGGCTTCATTTTTAATACTATTTGAGAATGCCTTCAAATCAATACAGCTTATGACTTTGCTGTTATTGATAAAAAGATTTCTTTTTTAAACATTTTGTTCCTATATATTATTTCGTAATAATTTGAATTTGATTCCCTATAATTTCCCTCCCTATCCTAAAAGGCCATGATTTGAACAAATTTAAATCTTCAATACATGAGGATGCTTACAAGCCAATATGACTAAACGTGGCTTTTCTGTTCTTGGGATTTTCCCCTTTATTTTTCTACGTAAAACTTTGATCCACTGTTGTGGCCCCACCCTACCCTTGGGGATTATGATTTGAACAAATTTTATTCTACACTACCTGAGAATGCTTCCATATAAATACTAGTACCACTAATCATGGCTATGCTATTCTTGGTAAGGAGACTTTTTAAATATATTTTAATGTAAAACTTGGATCCCCCATTGTGGCCCACCCTATCCCTGGGGGTTGTGATTTGAACAAACTAGAATCTACACTACCTGAGGATAATTCCATATAAATAACTCTAATCATGGCTTTGATGTACTTAAGAAGATGATTTTAAAGATTCTCCTATTATTCCTACGTGAAACTTTGATCAGCCATTTTTAGCCCAACCCTACCCCCAGGGGTCATAATTTGAACAAACTTGAATCTACACTACCCAAGGATAATTTCACATGAGTTTCATCTTTCCTGGCACAGGGGTTCTTGAGAAGAAGATTTTTCCTATACATTCCTATGTAAAACTTTGATTGGCCATTTTGGCCCCACCCTACCCCCGGGGGTCATGATTTGAACAAACTTGAATCTACACTACCTGAGGATGGTACCACACGAGATTCATCTTTCCTGGCACAGTGGTTCTTAAGAAGAAGATTTTAAAATATTTTTCCTATCTATTCCTATGTAAAACTTTGATCAGCCATTTTGGCCCCACCCTACCCCCTGGGGTCTTGTTTTGAAAAAAACTTGAATCTACACTACCCAAGGATGATTCCACATGAGTTTCATTTTTCCTAGCCCAGTGGTTCTTGAGAAGAAGATTTTTAAAGATTTTTCCTATATATTCCCATGTAAAAGTTTGATCGGCCATTTTGGCCCCACCCTACCCCCGGGGGTCATGATTTGAACAAATTTGAATCTACACTACCTGAGGATGGTACCATATGAGTTTCATCTTTCCTGGCACAGTGGTTCTGGATAAGAAGATTTTTAAAGATTTTTCTTATATACTACTTTATAAAAATTTGATCGGCCATTTTGGCCCCACCCTACCCCCGGGGATCATGATTTGAACAAACTTAATTCTACACTACCTGAGGATGATTCCACATGAGTTTCATTTTTCCTAGCCCAGTGGTTCTTGAGAAGAAGATTTTTTAAAAACGCCATTAATTTTTCTCTAATTCATGATTATCTCCCCTTGGAAAAGAGCGTGGCTCTTCATTTGAACAAACTTGAATCCCCTTTATCCAAGGATACTTTGTGGCCAGTTTGGTTGAAATTGGCCCTGTGGTTCTTGAGAAGAAGATGAAAATGTGAAAAGTTTACGACGACGACAACGACTACAATGACAGACAACGGACAAATTTTGATCAGAAAAGCTCACTTGAGCCTTCGGCTCAGGTGAGCTAAAAACAATACAAAATAGGAGCAGAGCAAACACGGACCTCCAAACATCAGAGGTGGGATCAGGTGCCATGGAGGAGTGAGTATCCCCTGCCGAACGGTCAAATCCGCCGTGTGCTCCTTGTCATGATATGGAAATGACGGGAAAATTCATCGTCAATTCAGTGTATGAATAATGGACAAACAATTAGTAAGAAAAACATCAGTCGGCATTTGACTCAATGATAAATTGTATTTGCTGACAAGGTCGTTGTATCGACAATAGAAGTACAAAATAATGACTTTAAACGAGACTGTTGATATCCTTGTTTCATCAACTTGTTAATCAATAATTAACCTCGTTTTAGAAATTGTTTATATGTAGAACATGCTCTTGCGTATCGAATTAACTGAGATATACGAACTCCGTATGCAGGTACCAATGATGAAGGTATATTGCTGCATACAAATGTAAGTAAGGAAAGTCGACGATTGTAAAGTTAAAGTCATCACCTTTATAATTGAGCTTGGTTGTTGGATTGCCATTAACGTCTTAATTTCAAGTAAAATATCTGTATGTGAAACAGATGTGTCAAACTCTGTGGTATCTTTAATCTTAAGCTCACCGGGATATATCGTATATATATCGACATTTGAATGGAAATACATGTAACCATTGTTAGTTGACATCACGTCGTCGATATATCTAAGTGTCGAGTTGAAGGCCACAGCAAGTGTTTTCTTCTTTTCACCTATAAGATGTTGGACAAATTCTACTTCATATGAATACAAAAATAGGTATGCTAATAAAGAGGCGCAGATGGTACCCATGGGAATTCTAATTGATTGTTGGAAGATCTGGTCTCCAAAAACCACTTTATAGATATTGTCAATCAGAAACTCAAGCATCTTATTGATGTCAACTTCACAGTACTTGTGTGTACAATCAAAATGTTTTTTAACAATTGAAATAATTTTGCAAATGACCAGTGATAAGGTAGGTAATTTACGAGTTCCATTTTTTGTATTGAAAAAGCACCTGTCGATGATATCAAAATGCTTGGACTTTAATTTATCGTGGAGAATGGTTGTGTATAATGTTGAAAAATCGTAGGTTTTTAAGCTGCTGATTTTGTAAAATCTTGTGATTTCAAATTGTTTAAAAGTTCCTTGGAATTTTTAAGCATCCTCATCTGATTTACACCACTTATTGAATATATTGTTGCACAGTACTCTTGAAGTTTTTCCTCCATTACTGTTAATATCTTAGTGAGGAGTAAAGAAAGAGGCTTGGTTGAACATTTACTAGAACCATATATGTATCTTTGTTTGTAAGGATTTTTATGAAGTTTAGGAATTCATTATAGATATGGAAGTTCAAATTCATTTTGGTTCTGTGGAATTCTTTTTCTAATTTTTAAAAGGTTTCTTAGGGAATTGTTTGTAGAGAATTAAGCACCATGGAAAAGCCCCCCCCCCCCCTCCTTTCATTTTGTTTTTTGACACCTCGATCAATATAAAATATTAAGTACTAGCTGCAGATCTAGCTACCTTGCGCATGTCTTTAAAACAAAATTTCATGTAAGGGACAGATCTATTTTCAACTGTTCAAGTACTTTGAACTAGATACACGTTTGACGTCCTTTGAATTCTGAATTTTCACTCGTATTGAGACACCATCACCAGGGACCTATAACTTAGTATATAGGTCCCTGCCATCACTTACCCGTGAATGGTTGCAAAGGCCTGCACATGAGACGCAGGACCTTTCAGTGAGGGATCTTTCCCTGTCTGCATCTACTGTGACAAAGGACCTCTGTAAATAAGCTCAAATTTAGACCTGTACTCAACACTAACGGCATTTCAAAAGTGAGGTATAATTTTCGCGCCAACACCTTCTGCGACAAAGGTTATAAGGTCAAATCCGAAGAACCTTTTTACACGTGGATATTAACTGACTATGTAACAGCACTGGAACAGCAAAACTGGCAATGAAGAACGATATCTTTTAGTGGAAGAAAGCAAACAAATTGAATATGAGTTTGTAAATGTTTTTTATTTAATTTTCTTAGTTGCCTATAAAATTAAACATTAAAATAAGTCAAAATAAAACAGGTTAAATCCTCTTAGTGTAAAGATTGACAGAATTTCATATTTGCTTGAATTACTTTGTGAATGAAAATTAATATTTCTTTCAATAAAACAGAAGAGAAAAAATAGAAACTTTTGTAAAATAACTATAAGCAAGAGTGCCAAAATAATCCGCAATCACCTAAACTACGGTATGCATTTAAATTTCTCTTAAGTTTATAAAACTGAAACTCATGAAATTTAATATATAAAAATAAAAAAAAATTAATAAATAAAACAGAAGATATCAAATTCTCTTTATGAGAAGATTGACAGAATTTCATTTTTCCTAGAATTTTTCCGTGAATGAAAATTATTTCTTTTCATAAAACACGTTAAAGAGAAAATCATAACCTAAATATTATATATTTGAAAACAGTAATTATACTCACAAAACGTCTAGCACTAGTCATGTGATATAACAATAAGACCAGAATACTCAATAAGGTCACCTTGACTATACATTAATTTTTCCGATGTATATCTGTGTAAAACATATCCTCTCTTATGGTGAAAAAATAATCAATGATTTAAACAAACTTGAACCTTCAAAACAGGGTAATATTTGCAAATAAATGTTTCACCCCAGTACTTGAGAACATTTTTTTAAAGAGACCTTGATGTATTTGTTTTTAATAATTTGGTCCCTTATTATGTACCACAGTCTACGAGTGCCGTATAAAAACAAGATCTATCTGAGAAACAGTGATGCCCCTAAAATCAGTTCATTGTCAAGGTGAAAATTTTGAAAAATTCAACTGTAAAGAAATAATACTGAACGGTAGAATATCTTTCATTCCCAAATGCATGTCGAACACCAAGATTTAGAGATCAAAACTGTTGGTACCCAGAGAAAGCATTGTTACGAGAATATGAAATGTAAAAGCATTGTTAAAGAGTCAAGGCCAAGGTTGAAGTTTAGTAAAATGTTGAAAAAGTGGGTCAAACTCCATGGTTTAGAGCTGAAATAATTTTTGTACTTAAAGAGGTCTTGTCACAGGAAAAGCACTTATGAAATGTAAAAGCCACAGCTGCAACAAATTTAATATTATTGGCAAGGTTCAAATTTTGGTGTTTCCTTCCACTTTTCCTAGTTCTAGAACCAAATTGAAATTTTAAGTACACTTGTACACAAGCACAAGAAAAGCTTTAAAATTTCACTGCTATTGAATCCAGGAAAGTAAAATGTCCATGTACAAAAGTAAAAGTTAAACAACAGATGTTTATGAAAAACTTTAGCCCCCTCATCCTGCACATACATGGGAAGAAAATGATAGGAAACTGCAAATAATTGAATTATTCTTTGTTCAAGGGGCATAACTCTGTCCAGCATGGCTCAATCATACCCAAAACAGAACTTGACCTAGATATTCTTATGATAAAACTGTATATAAAGGAAAACTTGGTGGACAGACAGATTGACCGACCGACCGACAAGGCAGCAAAGCAATATGCCCTCCCTTTTTTGAAGGGGGCACCAAAAATACAATTACAATGCAATTTTTTTAAAAATCACAAAAAGATAAAGAACTATCTCAGAAGATTTGACTAGTACTTTTTCAGTAATTCTTTACTATAATTGCAAAATGAGGCTTTCTACCGGAAGAACAGAAGATGCTTAAAACATTGAGGTCAAGTACACAATTTTATAAGAAACTTAAAAATTGAAAATCTAATTCTACAGTGATAATCATGATAATACTGAATGGTAGATAGTCGTTAATAAATAACTGAATTCATTTCTAAACAAACGGCAGCATGAACCTCGATGGACTCTTTGGAAAACATTTCTGTGCAGATTGGGCATTCTACAAAAGCTGTTGGTGAATCGAGGGTGTACTCTTCAAACACTTCAACCTCTGATGCTGGAGGACCTAATGGATAGAACAAAGTCAGAGGGGCTTTTTATTTCTTTATGAACATGCATTTATCTTTCTATTAAGTACAATAAATTATAAATCCATTAAAATGAATTTAAATTTTTATTATCAGACCTGGCATTAAAAATTTTGTTTCTCTCCTGTGCACAGTAAAACTAACTTATAGTGAACATGCTTATAACAATTTGACGCTTATTAAGACGTGAATTTTATTTCCTATGACTTAAAAAAAATTTGTAAACTTAACAGACATAACGAACTATGCTTTTAACGAAGGAAAATAGTCCATCCCTGACACTTCTTTATAAATAAGTGTTTAACTGTATAAGGTGACATGACTTGGTAAATATACTAAAGAAATAAAAACTTAGCAAGGAATACATGTGATATATATGCAGCTTCTCTAATCAAGTTCAAGACAATCTAAAACATTTCCCCTCAGATTCCTCTTTAGAGATTAGAGGTAAATCAAAGGCCTGAGATGTGAGAGGAGCATCAAAATAAAACTTCACTCTGTACACAGATTTTAACAATTTATTTATTTTCTTTTGAAGTTTTTTTTTTATTTTTCTTCTTGTATTATCTACATTTGTATTGAAATGTCAATTAAAATAATAAATTTTCTTATCTTGTTCCATTTTTTCTTGCATTAACTACATTTGAATTTATGTTTCAAATAAAGTAATAAATTTTCTAAACTTGTTTATTTTTGTGCATTACTTTCAACATGTTCAATGGGGATTCTCTCTGAAGTTAAATTGTTCTGACATTTTTAAGTACCTAATGCCTGAATTTTTAAGTGCTTGAAACATTTTAATACTATGCACCCACATACATGTAGCTTAACAAATGTTGAGTGTCAACCGAGTGAAAAAAAAAATTAAGAATTGAAATATGAGGCTGTAAAACACTTTGAGGCCCTGTAAATTCCTTCCTTAGGTGATAAAAGTACCTTTTTCTGACTTGTTGACTTCTGAATTCTTGACATTAGCTACTTCACTCTCAGCAGTCTTCACCGGTGTCTGGGATTTCAGTTTTTTCTTCCCCGTTTTCCTACAATAAAATCACGAATCATTAAAAAATCAATTAACCCTGATACAAACATAACAAAGAGAAAACTTGCTTCATATTGGGGAGTCCCTTGCACAAGGTTTATTTTATAGTTCCATTTATTACAGATATTATATACTGTATACAGGAAAATATATGCCCCCGTTTTATTTTCGCCCCTTTTGCCCTTACATCATTTGGGCGAATTTAAAAAGGGGCGAATTCAAAATATGCAATATCTTTTCTTAAACAAAACGTTGACTGGGCGAATTTAAAATGGGGCACAATTGGTTGCAAGTGTGAAAGGGCGAAAATAAAACGGGGCGAAAATAACCCTGTATACAGTAAACCAATCAACTTTAACCTGAAAAAAAATGTAGATGGAACATGTTTTTTGATTATTTGAAAATAGCAAAATGATTTCAAGACATTTGTTTGTTTTGAGAGGAAAGAGAATGTCTTTTTCTAAACAAAAAAATCCATGTACAATATTCTCTTTATGGAGTAACTTTTTTAAGAACTAAATGATCAGTGCATGTAAGCTTTAAAAGAAACTTTATAAGAAGATCAAAACTGCATTAGACATGGAATATATAGATTGAATAGGTGTTTACCAAATACGGTATCTTTCAAAACAATCAATCTATTGATTGACTTTTAGATATATGTTTAATACAGTACTACCATTAGCAACACCACTAAAATACATATAGTGTAACAGAGTTTATAGTGGCTATGTGTTGTAAATAGTGAGGCCACGCTCCTACTAGCACTAGCTAGTGGGTTAACCCTTTAGCTCATTCGGTAGAGCGTTGGATTTTAAATCTGAGGGTCGTAGGTTCGAGCCACAGTGTGGACACCCCCTAGCTAATCGGTCATATTATAGAGATGTAACTTAGGCATGTATCCCTAGAAAAAATTAAAATACGAGGATTTCTAAAGAAAAGACATTTAACTTTTCCTTAACCATACTTTCCTTACATTTGAGGTTCCTTTCAGTTATCTTAACAGTCCTTGAAAACTCCACGAAAACGTTCCACTTACTTTGCTTTCCCTCCCTCTGTTTTGCTCCCCCCGTTAGGAGTGGTCCCGGGGGTGGCGGCTGTGGACACCCACCCCGACTTGACCCCCTCTATCCCCAGCCAGTCCCTCTCCTCATCTTCTAGCTGCTGTCTCTTAGCACCCCTGTTTAACTTTCTCTCTGACCCCGCCTCACCCGAATCTCGTTTTCTCTTTCCACTGCTGGGCGGGGTGGCACAGCTCAGCCATTCATCCTCTGTGGAGGATTTCGGCATTGGGGTCACAGCTTTTTTACACACACTTTTACCGACAAATGAACTTTGCCTTGCTTTATAAGGACTTTTCAATGATTTTACTAATGTTTTACAATCTGCACCATTCGTGTCTTTGTGTGACAGTCCAGATGGTTTTGGATCAGAACATTCTGAGACAATCTCAGTTTGTTTGTTTGTACAATTTTTGTTTCTCTCTTGAAAAGGGATTCCATCACCCCCTGCTGTTGAGTTGTTACTTTTTCCTTCTACGGCAATGCAAGTCCCATTTTCTGTTTCTTTTTCTCTGTCTTTCTCCATGAACATTTCACAAATATACTCGCTGCTAAGCTTGATAAACACTTTCTTTTCTTCTGCTGTTAACTTCCGTTTTATTTTCTTCTCAAACTTGTGTCTTATATCTAGTCAAGAAGAAATAAATAAAAAGTCATTAGAAATATGTCAAAAGGACAAAAATGCCCTGCCCAAGTACTTTTGTATTTCATTAGAAAAGAAATATATCATCTTTCAATGGTCTGAGATTATACTTGAACATGTTGAAGAGAAAAATACAATGAAAGTGGGGTTAATTCTGAAATAATTTCATAAACATAATGTAGGTAGCTGTAAAATGAAGAAATTGTGAGGTCTAGATTACTGGAAAGGTCAAGCTAAGAAAATATTGACACAGTGGAAATGCCCTTACAGAGTTCTTGAAAGTTTTTGGTCCTGTCGGCAAGATGGATAAAAACAACCAAGGACCCATAACTTCAAATTCTGTGTCAAGTCCAAATGACCAAATGACTGACACAGAAAAAAGATTTCAAGAACTCTGCTCTTATCATGCTCTATGAGTCTTAGAATATGGAGTTTGGTCAAAATATCTTCAAAAGTGATGGCAGAAAATGCACTTAATACAGATCATCCATAAATCCTTGCAAAGCCCTACTAACTTAGGTTTTCTTTATAACAAAGTTTTACTTTATGGTCTTTTCCAGTTAAATCTAAGTTCTTTAGATCTGTACATTTACCTGCTATTGTGATTTTGTCCAGCTCTTCTTTCTTAAATTCATAGTCATTGTCTAAAAATGATAGAGCCTCCTCCTCAAACTGAAAAACAAACAGTACATACAGTTTAATTTCTGTAAGGATTGTCTCCTAAACATGGTTAATATGGTTAATGTAGACTTGTTTTTGTTGCCAGGTCTATGCCTTAACTAAACTTAAAGGAGCATGTAAATGTTTAGGGAACATACTTCATTGATTAAACCTAGACCAGATGCAAGATCTGAGATAAGGATTTAAGATATATCATGGATGCAGCTTTGGTGAATTGAGACTGACAAGTTATTTAGGCCTAACTTGATTTCATTTCTCAAATATTCCACCAAGGGAGCTTATATTTGAAAATTAATTACCTTCTTCCAAATTTTTGATTTTGAACTTTGAAATTTTTTAAAAAACTTATTATAATATAACAACCTGTGGGGAGAGCTGCTGGGCCACGTGCCTGGAGTAGAGCTTGGACTTTCCCTCAGGAGAAATTATTTTGGGAGGGACAGAGAACTGGTTTACACTTCCTGTTGCAGCGAGGACCAGTTTAGCATTCCTGTTCAGACAGTGTTCCTGTTCACTTCCTTCCTCCCCTGACCCTGCGATTTTCATCAGCCTCGATTTCAGTTCACAGGTTTTGCTATCACTATAACAAAAGAGAAACTATACCGTACTTTGGATTTGTGCTGATAACTTTCAAAACCTTACTGAAGAATTTCTGAAATTTTATACTAAAATATGTAATTAATATAATTCAGTCTGTGTATAAGAGGAATGACATGTTGATTAGGAACTATTACAAGAGACCCACGGGCCTTATAGGTCACCTGAGCATTCTGCAACAACTTTCCAGTTATTGAATTTGATTCATGTTTTAAGCCAGATGCTATATGGCATTCACAATTTTGAAAGAGGCACCATTGATCATCATAACAATACACTTAGCAGTTGCTTAGCTGGTTTATTGATTTGAAAATGTCTAATAATAAGTTCATAGGATCTTAATGAACATTTCATGAATAAAATTCATGAAAAATTCAAGGAAATTCATGATCACCTCGCAGGGGTACTGGATACCAATACGCAAGGTAGGGGAACAAAAATGCATTCCAACTAATCAGTAAAATTCAGCAATAATCAGTAGTGCCCCTAACACTGTGAAATAAACCCCTGACCCTAGGTCCACACATTGCACAAATTTTAAAAAGGCACCCTTAAAATTGCCTATCAAAAAATAAATGTTTTATAAATACAAAGGAGCAGATTTCAAACAATTAATTCATTTTCAGTATATAAGTAGAGTCCCAACCCCACCCCTGACCCTGGGGCCTTGAAATTCACAATTCTGCAAGATTAGGGCCCTTGCTCATCAAAACAAAATAGGTAGTTCATCTGCTTCATACCCAGATAATTTTTTTTCCATTTTTAATCAATAGCGCCCCCCCCCCCCCCCCCACACACACACACCAGAACTCCTGACCCTGGGACCATAAAATTCATAATTTTAGTAAAAGCACTTTTGCTCATCATAACTATGCACTTAGTTAGTTTATTTAATACCTAGGAGCAGAGAAGAAGATTTTCAAAGAATTCATGTATTTTCACTATATAATATATAGAGCCCTGCCCTAACACCAGAACCCCTGACCCTGGGACCATAAAATTCACAATTTTATGAAAAGCACTCTTGCTCATCTTAACTATACACTTAGTTAGTTTATCTAATACCTAGGAGCAGAGAAGAAGATCCTGGGGCCAGTACATCAAGTTGTGAGGCACGTCGATGAACGAAAACGGATAACAATAGGTCACCTGAGTGACTCTCATCAATATGTACATGTAACAGCATATGAAATTTGATGAAAATATTTAAGCACTAAATCAAATCTGAGCTTTATACTGGGCTAACTGCAAAGTGTGACGGAAGGAGAAGATGGACATAAGAAACACTATCTGCCCTGGACCTAAAAACCATTCTTAGCAATCCACAATTTGATACCTATCCTATTATAATGCTACACTTTTGCTTAACAGGTCAATACCACTACCTTATATGCAAGGCAATTTTCAACACGTGACGATGTCTTTGTCACGCCCGTTCTCCAATCAAGTGAAAGAGTCCCAAAGCATAACAGTCTACCACGTGTTTACGATTCAATGGCTACACGTGGTTTTCGTCGGTTTACTGCACAAAATTAAACTCATCACCGGAAAAACTGTAGAGCTTCTTTATCACTTTATTAGACCGAAATTGAAAGATTATATTCTAAAGACACTGCTCCATGCTCACATTTAATATTGGAATTGTTTTAGATGATTAACAGTTGCTTCGAATACTGTACAAACGCTTTGACTTTTGCATATACATAAAACACTTTCTGATATTATTGAGGGGATAAAGAATAATTGCACACTTTCTCCTGTTGTCTAAGTACCAAGGACCTATATACTACTTGCTAAAGCTATGTACACGTATATCACGTGAAAAAACTCAATGTTTTATCCACACGATAGCACTTATACGTCTCTTTGAACAATGGTATACTAGGCCGATGTATTAGTTGATATAAGGCTAATAAAGCAAATTTTCTAAATGTGAGCATAAAAATGAAAGATTATACATCATTTTAAATATTTCTTTCACAAATCTCAAAAAAGAATCGAAAATAAGTTTCCAAGGGACAATTCAAGTTGCCTTAATTTTCAACACAGCTAGGTACTTGTAGTAGCCCACAATGCATTGCAGTTCATTCAGCAGTCGGTAAAGTAAACAGATTACCTAATTTACATGCAAATTTATTCCGACGTCAGAAAATCAAGTGGTCTCGACCTGCTTAAGGACAAAACTAATTCCATAGCAGGAACTGTTTTAAGCCAAAGTTCAAGTGTTATTAATCTCAAGTCTGTATCAGAAAATTTCATCGAAAGCAACAGTCCATAATACATGCAGGAAACAAAATTGATAATTAGAGTTATATTGGGTATGTAGGAAATTGAACATTTTGACAGAATTTGATTCAGTAAGAAAGTTTCCATATTTCCTAAACAGAGTTAATTGAGATACGTCAGTATTATATTCACTTGTCAAATTAAAATCGTCTGTGTCTGTGAGCTTGACTCCCCAATACCTATAGAGAGGAAGCTCCTTAAGGTTAAATCAGCAGAAAGGAATATACGCCACTGAAAATGGACTCCATTAGAAGCTCACAAATGTAAGTTTTAATTACAAGAATTTATAACAATTCCTAAATCATCCGAATCAGTGTAATCAGTGTAATTTGTTGACAGTAAAATTCGTTTTAATGTTTTACAACACTGAATTTAAAACTTAATATATATCCTTTAAACTTTTAGCTATAAATTTCACTATTTAAAAAAAAATGAATGATTTAGTTGAGTTGAAAAATAACTGATTCAGGTGAGGAAGTACTTTCTTATTTTATGATTTTTGAATGTTAAAATTATCAGTTATGACTATTATAGTTTTACAAAAGTGATATTAATTAATTATACAAAAATATAAATTCCACATTAATCATTCTCAGTACTGTAGCCATACAACGCATATCAGAGTCTGTGTTTGTGGGACTGTGTCGTAAAGTGGGGACCTCACAACTGGTGGCCATGAGGAGAGATGTGGTGGACATCTGGGAGATGGTGAGAAATCAAGTGACAACAAGTGATGTGTTCAGTATGATGCTGAGTGGAAGTGAGAGTGAAGGACTCAGACTGAAAGGATCAGATGTAGACATAATGTACTGGCCAAATAATCACCGTGTGATCTGGGACTTATCTCAGTCTCAGTATTACAACACACACAGACAAACACTGATCCTCTGTGACTGTTCTGATAGTCCACCAGGATTCACTTTGTTATATTTACTGTCACCAAGCATGTATAGACAAATCCAGAGAGCATGTGTTAGAATGAATAACAGATATTATATATCTAGTTCTAAACACAGACAGATCTTTTTATCTGAGTCACCACTACTTTATAACAACACTCTACATGGACCCTGTGCCAGTGGAACATTTGGAACACAAGAATATGATGCTGCCCACTGTTTTATTAGTGACTTTTGGCCTCCCTCTGCCTCCCCATGGATAGACAGATGCCACTCATGGCCCCAGCCTCATGTTGTTGATGATATAGTGAAAAATGGATGTCACTTTGTAGCAATTGGACACAAGCTAGGAAATCATGAAGATCATGAATGGAGAATTTCTTTCTCCCTAGCAGAACAAAAACTTGTGTATGTAATGAATCACTGTCAATTCTTAACTTACGGCTTACTTAAATTGATCTTAACAGAAATAATTAACAATGGAGTAGGTGATGATGATAAATTACTGTGTTCCTATCACATGAAGACAGCAGTTTTCTGGGTGATTCAACAAAATACAATACCTCACTGGTGTCCACAAAATATCCTGGGGGGTTTCTGGGTCTGTTTTAAACTCATCCTCAAATGGGTGTATGAGGGGGTCTGTCCTAACTTTTTTATTCCAGGCAACAACATGTTTCTGAGTAAAATTCATGGCATCAAACAACAGCAATTATTTGTAAGACTGTCAGAGTTGTATGAAAAGGGTTTAGCATTCCTGCTAGGCAGTCCCTCCATTAGATCTTGTATTATAGATGTCCTCTATAACCCCAGAAACTCCATCTGTACAGATGATCATACTCTGATTTCTGAGGTTGGGTTTGATAGAAATCTATTTAATGAGATAAAGCAGCGTTATGTCGTAACAACCAAATTGAACATACAAATCTGCATTAGATATTTACATACAATAGAAAAGATGATAGGTTCACCCCTCCTGACACAGTATCAAGTCCTCAAGCTACAGTACATTACCGCTAAGGTCCTTCAGGACACTGCTTTTATGTTTCACATGGAAATGTACACACCCGACAACAAACCGAGTTATAGAGCTGACAAAATGTCCTGTCATATGCTGAAATTAACAGCCAGGTTTGGCTGTATTACAGACATGCTGTACATAGCCATGTATTATTACAAGACATTTAGATATGTGGAAGCTTTATCTATTATAGAGATGATCAAGGTCAAGTTAACACAGCCATATGTGATGATGATTGGGTATAATGTAGGTAGAGCGATGTATACTGAAGCTGTAGGGGGACAGTCCTGGTCTACAAAGATGAGACAGGCTGTAGTAGGGAATATCATACTTATCAATAGAATCCATTACATCAGTGAATTGATACCTGAACAACAGTCTGCTCTACAGAGAGACATGTCTTTATTATATATCCCACATTTGGTAATGTTATACATGCTTGAGATTTTGTGCTACAGACATGTAGACAAAATGCAAGCACAAACAGCTCTAGATGATCTACAGACCCTAGTTCACTATGATCAGGGACAGCTTATACATTTATATCTCAGAGATATATCATTGCAAATTCTGGGGATCTGTCAACAGGTGACAGGGAACCCCCAGGCTGCTCTATACTCATACCAACAATCTCTCAGACAAGAACCAATCAACAACATACAAACAGCTACAGAAATGAGAATACAGAGTTTGTCAATGGATTCCCTAAATTAACTAAATGTCAGATGATATTTGTAGGAAATTACAGATAGAGATTTATCATTTACATATCCTCTTTTGATTTCATATTTTCTTTTCTGTCTGTTTTATTACAAGTATTACAAATCTAATAACTAGTCTATAAAAAAAATGAAAGAGGCACCATTGCTTATCATCGATACAGTCAAACCTGTATTAAGCAGTCACCTATGGGAGACATTAAAAGTGACCTTTATAGAGAGGTGACCTTTGGATAGAGGTTCATCTTTTTAAAGGAATTTATATACAAAGATGCCAGTTTATTTGTGTTTATATATAATGTATTTCACTACAAAATATACAAGGAAGTTATGTATTGGACATTAGTCATCTCACTATTAATTATGTTCCCCAAACGAAGTTGGGGAACATATTGTTTTTACTCTGTTTCTTATTAAGGTCTTCCGTCTTCACGGAAGACCTTATAGTGATTCTATTGTTTCTTCTTATTATTATTATTTTTCTGACCATCTAATTTTGTGCACACGATTTCTCGAAGACTACTGGATGGATTTTCACGAAATTCTCAGAAACAATGTGTTGTGATCTGAAGTTATTTTATCCGAGAGATTTTTTGGAAATTCGCTTCCGGTGCCAAGTTACGGACCTTTTCCTGAATTTAAATTGACATTTCTGTCCGTCGTTAATCTCAAGAACGGTAAAAGATATTAATGTGAAACTTTCAGGGATTATAGATCGTGATATTCTCTATCTAGGACGCGACCTTTTGTTCGTCGTCAGTACTTCCTGTTGTGTCCAGATGAAAATTTAAAAAGTTGAATTTTCTAACTTTTTTGTTTTTCAATATTTTTGAATTATTTTAATATGTTTAATAGAAACCCTTCTAATTAGGCTCAATATATAATTTGTTTATAAATTGATAAATCCAAACTCTAGATATTAACATTTGAAAATTCGAAGCGTATCCAAAATGGCGTCTGTCTCTGTCAACTCCGACATTTAGCGCGTAGGGGGTTATGAAGTCAGCTGAGCGTTTGGTTGAACGAAACTAACATAAGGATAAATGAAATGTAAAAGAGTACTTTGATTGTCACGTCGTAGTTACGTTGCAATTCTGTTTTAACTAAAGTTTTAATGCGAGGTCTTCTCAAAGTAGTTTTATCTGGTTCTCAAGGTAGAAAAAGACGAGACTGCATTTACAAATGAAATACTTTATCTACAACCTTTAGTTTTGCATCATGGAACAACAGATTTTGAATCACGATTAATATACATGTAAGCATAAGTTTATCAAGAAACGATATATTCAGTGAGTATAAAATGCGGCCACTGTTTTCCCATGCAAACTAAATAAGTGAACCATTTTTTCAAAAGATCATTTAAAGAAGTTTATGTAAACATTTATTTTCTAATAGATCTAATTCAAGTTAATAAACATAGATGGTATCTTAATTCTTGACCGTCGTTGGGTGAGGCACGTTTTTCAGTTTCAGTTTTTTAATGAATGTGTAACTGATTGGGAAATTGAAATATGTTAAAGAATCATAGCCATATTCCACTGCTTTCGTATTACTTGCGTATAAACGATATGTTTTATGTCTCGTACATTGAACGTATTAAATGACTTTTAAAACTCAATTTAAGCTATAAGAACGTTCTTATTTTAATTTGATTGAAGCTATCACACCTTTTTAATAGAACTTTCCAAAGAAAAGGCGTGAAGATTTATACGTGCTGTTTGGCGCGAAATTATGAATAGTGACCAGCCTTTCACAATTTCAAGACAGATATACTGTTGCAGAAATACTTACAAATAAATTTAGAAGAGAGGTCCCAATATAGTAAAGGTAAGCGCGTTGGAAATATCAGCTGGTAACCCTGGTTCAATCACCCATCTGTACGAATTTTTCAAATTAAATTTTCAGCTCGATTTTACTGGGGTTTTTTTTTTCAGAATCGGACGGAAGACCTCTCGTTGCTCGCAACGAGATCGTTTCTAGTTATTATTATTATTAAGGTCTTCCATCTCCAACGGAAGACCTTATTGTTTTCGTTCGGTTTCTTTTTCCCTATTATTATAATTTTTTTTCTTACCGATTTTGTGCACGCGATTTCTCGGAAACGGCTCGCCCGATTTTCACCAAACTTTCAGATCTGATAGATATTCATCTGAACCTTGTCGGAAATTTTCGACGTTGATGACGTCACTTCCAGCCGTGAGATATGGACGATTTTCTGATTTTTAGAGGGTCGGCTTGTCCTGAGATCTCCTCCTAAACGACTGAAGATATCGACTTGAGATTTTCAGTGAAGGTAGAGGAAGGATAGTAGATGTGACATTTTGCATATAGAGCTTTCCAGGTAAAAAGGCATCAACGCTCGCCTGGGCTCGAAAAATAGGCTCATACGCATCTCGCAAAAATTGATACGTTTTCTTTTATATCTTTTTACTGGTTAATATTTTGTTAAGACATATATAATAAAAAATGTGCAATAAAGTAAGACCTTTCATTTGATTTGAAGAAAATGGGGTTAGCCCTTCATATTAGGGGCATAGAGGGGCCTAAAGTCTCTCGTCTTTAACTCTTTAATTATCAATATTTTGTAAAACATTACTGAAACAAAGATATTCAACTTAACAATTTGCAACAATATATACTAAAAAATTGATCATATGTTACGTGATAAAGGGTCACAGGGGGCTAGAATGCTATATCTTTGACGCTTCATATCTCGGAAAGCGTGAATATTTTGATAAGCAATATTGAACGAAAGATGGTCAAATAATGTTCCCAACAATATGCATACTTTTAATGTGTTCATTTTTTCCGTCAACACTTCCGGTGTAAACCGGAAGTACATGAAATTTAAATACAGGTACATGTATAGCGATTTTTTTTCTTCATTTTCTAATGAATGTAATTGTTCATTATAGAGATTTAAAGAATTAGTAGCATCTTAATATTTCCACCGAAGTACGGTTTGTTCAAACCGGAAGTTGTCTAAAATTGAGTATTTCCCATCGAAACTTTCAGGGATGATTACTGTTTGCTCCATGTAGAGTTGAAAGTAGTTTTGAGCACATACGGTCGCACCGGAAGTGAGGAAATAGAACCGGAAGTTGATTGGAATTGATAGATCCTACATTTTTTTCGTGTTTCTAAACATATTTGAAGAATTCTTGTGCCTTTTTGACATTTTTTTATCCTATCAGTGGAATTATCCTAACACAGGTCTTATTCCATCAGATATTGGACGGAAGACCTACTCGTTGCTTGCAACGAGATCGCATCTAGTTAAGGTCTTCCGACTTCCTTCGGAAGACCTTACTGTTATTCGTCTGTTTTTTATTATTATTATTTTTCTTTTTTCATAGTTAGGGCGATATCTCAGCTGTGCGTGGACGGATTAAAAAGATTTTTACAGGGTTGATGCATTATGAGAATATCTCCAGAGGTGTTTTTCATTTTTTCAAAATTCACTTTCGTTCGCGATTTTTGGGGTTTTTATGTATTTTTTAAAAGGCAAACGGAAGTGAATTCAAAAAGTCCCATTTCTCAACTTTTTTGTTTTTCAATATTTTTTCTTTAATATTCACAGGGTTTTTATTGTGTCTAATGAGAATTCTAAATATGTGTTTAGTATCTTGATGTGTGCATATATTGAGAAGATATGACCAAACCAAACTTTGTCCCACTGTCTCCAAATAACTTTTATCTATGTATGGAAGATTTTGCCGATTTTTACTATTTTTGACATGCAATAATCATGAGATATGTTAAGAGGCTGCTGTAAATGAACGTAAACGAAAAAAAATACGGCACAGCATTCCGGTCGTAAACGGAAGTGAATTAAAAATTATTATTATTATTTTTTTTCACATTTTTGTGCAAGCGAATTCTCGGAAACGGCTCAACTTTTTTGTTTTTCAAATTTTTTATTTTTTCCAGTCGTGAGATATGGACTTTTCTGAATATTCACAGGGTTTTTATTGTGTCTAATGAGATATCTTTCTAAATATGTGTTTTTTATTGTTATTTTTCTTCTAATTTTGTGTATGTGTGCATATATGTGTTGTTAGAAGATTTTATGAGAGATTTTTTGGAAATTCCAAGTTACGGACAATTTTCTGATTTTAAAATGACATTTTGTCCCAATAACTGTCGTGAAACTTTCGATTATAGATCGTGATAAGTACTATCCAAGACTGTGGGCGTTGAAAAAAGTTTTTTAAAACTTTTTTGTTTTTCAATATTTTAGTATGGTTGATAGAAACATTTATTTTTAGTTATATAATTTGTTTGTAAATTGCTGTCTTTTAACATTCAAAAGTTGCAAATAACTTTTATCTTTCTTTTACAGAGGCAGCCGAGCGTTTGCTTGAACGAAAGTTACATCAGGAGCAATGAAATCTGTAGGGATACTTGGATTGTCACGTCGTAGGTTCGTTGCAGTTCTATGTCAAACTACATTTATAATCCAAGGTATCCTTACAAGTCTTTTTGAATTTGTTTTGGTTGTTTCTCAAAGTAGAAATAGAAAAGAATTAATGTACAAAATAAGTACAATATCTACTAAATTTTGTTTTGCATCACGGAAACACATAGCTTAAATCATAGTTATAATAAATATTTTTAAAAACAATATTTATAGTAAGTACAACGTGACCAATGTTTTCCAATGCACACTTGTGTCATATTTGAAGCTCGCCTGGGCTCGAAAAATAGACTCACAAGTATCTCGCAAAATTTGACACGTTTTCTTTGATATCTTTGTACCTGTAAAGGAGTACATATGGTAAGAGCCAATTTTGGCCCCCTTAAAATCAACATTTTAGAATGACATTCAGATATGTTTAATTGATATTTATTTTAAAGAAGAGATTATATTAGAAATATAAACGACATGAGAAATAATGCTATTTTTGCTATCTAACAAAAAAGCCCAAAAATATGCCCTTTTCTCGATGTTTTTTTCTTATGGGAAACATAGAGCGCAGTGTAGAACATACATGATTTTTCTGTCACTTATCAGTATTGGATAGATACATCTTTCGTAAAAAAATCAATCTTGTTCTAGGCTGCGCTCTATATTTTCTGAAAGAAAAACTGCTTGAAAATAAGCAGTTTATACAAAAAATGCTTAAATGGCGGGAAAACTTGATTTTTATGATGTCATATTTCTAAAATAAAGGCATTTTGATAAAAATGAAAATGACCAATAAAGGTCGCATATATAGCTGTACAAGTTAAAGCTATATATAAAGTAAAATTAAGATATTCATTTTAAGGGGCGAATTGAGACACTTACCATATATCGCTCTTTGGTTAACAGATATGTAATAAAAGTTGTT